GTTCCCATTTAGGTTGACGATGGGTTATATCTTCGTTAGAATTGTTGGAAGCTTGTATCCATATTAATGGCGTCCGTCGGACTTTCCCCTTGCGTTCGTACCTTGCATGGCATAGGAGTGGGTACTTTTTAGCTGACTTCACATTATCTGACCAGGGATGTTTTGTTGGTGTCTTGTATTTATCGATTGGAATTTGATTTGGTTTTGGGCGAACCTGGAAGATGTATATGAATACAACCTTGAGCCGATTCATGACTCCAAGTTCCTTTTCCTGGTGATGATATCGCTTCTTCAGTGCCTTTTTGAATGACTACTACGTGAAATTATTGTTTATTTCACGTTGTCCGTTTATCACTCGAATCACCAAGTCGCTGTCTGGTTTCTACTAGTTACTGTTGTATTTTAATGTTTAATTGCACCCAAGGCAGCTTCGGCTCTGTCGATCAACACCCCCCAAACCTGCACGGAAATAATACAATTCTCATAATTTTCCCAACTGATTTCGTTTTAATCAACTTTTTATTTCACAATTTCACTTAGCCACTTACCAAGGGTATCTAATACAGAGCCAGAAGCGATCATCGGCCCAAAAGATAACGCAAAAGCCTCCAAAATATCGTAGAAAAATTCTTGTTTTTACTGATTTCTTTTGTTTTCCATACAAGCCCAGACACTCAGCCCGTCCTCCTCCACTTCGTCTCCTCCCCACCCTCACCGGTATTCACATCAGCAGCATCTTGCCCATTTCCCTCACCACCTTCCTCACGAGGTCTAACCGTCCCGGCCCCAGGCCCCAAAGAAACCCCACCCGGTCCTTCGCCCCCGTCCCCAATATCCTCACCACCTTTCCAATTCCCCTCCTCATCAAAATACTCATGCATATTTTCTGTCGTAATCCAACCTCCACTCCCGGGCATCGCAGGCGGTAAGCCGCCTGTGCTATTGCCAGGAGTAATCAGCCCTCTCTGATACAAGATACTACCATCCAGCTGTTCGGTGGGGTGATTCTGCATATCCGCGTCGCCTTCTTCGTCGCTTCCATGTTGCGAGGCTGGATCAGGATGCAGGTTCGAACATGCTGAGACGGCGGCAAACAGATCTTGCGCAGGCGTTTGGCTGTGTTTATTTTCTTCTTCTTCCGTAGTGAGGAGTTCGTCTTGTTGTTGCGGTTGTGGTGGGGGTTGGGGTTGGGGAGGCGGAGGCACTATTGTTAGACACGTGCTATCTTCTTCCATATCCTCGTCCTCCTGGTTGTCCTGGCTGTCTGCTGAAAGCTGCATATATAAACCCTGCACTGTATTTTCATCATCTGCAACGGAGGAAGTTGCGGGTGAAGTGGAGTTAGGGATTTGGAGGCGTTGAATTGCATGCAGGGAGATTGATGGGTACGGGATTGCGACCCCGGTTTTCACACGCTGGGAGTAGAGAAGGAGGCGTCTATTTCACTGTTAGAGATGCGCATATTCTCCTGAAAATAGAATTTGAATTACGTGGGAACATTTGTATCCATACTCAGATGTTACCCAAACATCAACCTCATCTATCACAATCTCTTTGTTCCCATCCGCACCGTCGGTAGCGGTAGCGGTAACGGAGGTCGAAGTTTCGCTAGCTGAGGTGCCATTCACAGCTTCAGCTACGGACGCATTCTGTCGCAACCCATTCAATGCAGTGGATTTGTTTAATTCTTCTTCCAAAATCACTATTTTACAACGTTCGCTCAGATGGTGCAGTATGGGGGGTCCTGAATAGAACGATGCCGGAGTATGCGATTGGTGCTCGGCAAGCGGAATGAATGAAGAGTTTTCCGGGGGGTTGTGAAAGACTTCCATTGCGAATATGAGTCGATTCCAGTCCAAATTGATAAACCTGGGTTTCTGGCGCATGCAATCCCATCTCAGAATTGATAGTTAACTAACTGGTTAACTAGTGGGTTCACTTTAGTTTGTGACTAAGCAAGATCTTCTGCTCCGTCAACGACACAGCACTTGACTACATCACGGATACTGCAACGCACAAAGGCAAGAAGGATGAGAAGCGCGACCACTTCCAACTATCATTGCCATTTGATATCCTAAAGCCTACCGGGGCGTTTGTAGTCATATGTAAATGTTCATATAACTATACCCAAGAACAACGCGCTTCAATGCCAAGGGAAAAGGGAAACAACTGTGGGAACATGAAGATATAGCCATACAATACACCCAGAACCATTTTCGCCATTATGTCTTATTTATGAACGGGAGCCTTCCGATCAAACCTTCTATGGGTTTGCCAGTCAATATCTTTCCCAAAGTGTTTTCTACCATCATTAATGTCTCGGGAAGAACTTCTGCGCCAGCAATCATGAGCTTTGCGATTCAAGGCGCCAGGGTTAGCGCATTCGTTTGTTTCGATGGTCGCTGCCATCCCTCAAGATATGGCAACCGTTCTTGCTCTATTTTATCGATTAGAAATGTTACTGATGCATGTACTTAGGCTCCTAAATTTCCTTACCGAAGAAAATCCTGATCCAATCAACTCGAGGGTTCCCTGTATCAGGGTTCCCAAAAACGCTTAAATACTGCGCGGTTTCAGTATAGCTAATTATATCGTCCTTCGCATTAAATGTGAAATTAGGATTTCGTTCTCTTTCCGTTTTGATTCGATTTAGCCGTGCGTGAGCAGCTGCTCCCAAGCTTACAGTGCGGTCGTCGATGAAGTAGTCGAGGACGCTCTGCCAAATCGTCGCGTTGAAGCTGATATTGTCACCAAAATAAATGTCGTCTCGTGATAAACTTGCGTCGTGTTTCGGCAAACAAGTCGTGATTAGCGAGATCATCTAGGTTGAAGTAGAGCTGAAGTGGATTTTTCGCCCCTATCATCCCCCCGGTGCCAGCAACAAGTGTGAGATCAAATCCAACATTCAACCCCTCCAATATGCCTTTAAGCAAGGTCGGATAAGTCATCCGCTTTCCGTTGCGAGGAAGTATGCCATGATTTGCGAGACTGTTCAATGCAGGGCATGGTCCACGGACTGTCGACGTTGTCAGAATTACAGAATTTTCTTGCAAAAGACTTTTTGGTCAAATAGCTTACCGTCATTTGGTCCTGGTGGATGTCATCGCGTGTAATCCACTGCTGCAGACACTAGACGAAAGCTCACAAAAACCATCACAATCACGGTGGTCAACATAACTTGCGATAACCCCATTTGCGATGTGTGGATCTCCGTCTTTTGAACTTGGAACGGAAAGAAAACTGCACGAAAGAATCAATCCCATGCGATTTCACTTGCCGTCAATGATAGATGTGCGATATTCTTCATAAAGAAGCGAAGATGGTGACACCGGTGAAGTAAGAGTCTGGAAGCAAGGAGGGCGATTAACTGTGAGTAGCAATTGCAAAAAGGACATCTGCGCACGGTCACAGCAAACCCATGATCTGTTCAGATCCTCATCCGTATCAGAGTCAAGTATCCATTTCACCTGGAAATTGAACGGGATCTACAAACTAAAGCCTTCCGTAATCTCCCTGGAAGGGAATTGAGATATTGGTGGAGATCCTCAGCACAATCCCCAGCACTAGTTATTTGCTTGACTCGAAGTAGGTATCATATCATAGGTATCGGATGTGAATGACCCACAAGCAGCCATTCTGCCAATTCCTCGCCAACTACGTGGTAGCGCAATGTCCTCTAGCCTTCGAGCGCATCAGATGGACTCACTTCAACAAGCGGGTTGATAATCGATCCTCTGTCGATCAGATCATCTCAGTGTTTAGAGCGCCACTCGCATAATTAGGGGTGGTTTGAATAGTAATGAGCTCCTTCAGCCTAAAAACATATGGCGTATTCTCTGAGAAGCCATGGATATGAGGTTGAATTGCCAATGATACTAAATAAAAGATCGGAATGCTTATTTTTGCTCACTGATTTGAATATAGGGTACATGTGAGGGAATGCTTGGAGTCAAAGAATACAACGCTACAGCAGGAGTTATCAACTTGATATACGTTTATCACATAAAAGCAAGTACTTGTGGTGGAAACAGACCCCGAGCCGTCACTTGAACTATCTGATAGTGCAGCATAGATTGCATTTTGCAATGTGAATGAAGATCTAGAGAAAGTAAACTAGAAAGAAATTTAGAATGCAACTGAGCTCCTAGACAAATCCATCCATCCATACAAACTGTTCAAAACTTCAGAAGAGCGTTTCTATCGTCTAAGCTTATAGCTTTCTCACACATCCACACCTCAAGTGACATATTTTCCATAATGCACGTCGACAAAGTTAAGTTCCTGAATTTTTCGTCAGAAAAAGCCCAGGTCGAAGTCAACACCCAGCCGCGTATGCAACAATCTGAGCTTATATCACGTCTTCGCAGCTTAGTTACCTTTTCAACGATTACACCGCCCGTACTCCGTAGTCAATCCCAAGGACACAATTTTAAGCTAAACTAAAATCATATTGGATCCTTTCTCGTTTGTCCTATGAGCGTTAGAGAAAAATATTGTAAAGTAAACTACTCTGTAGTGATCTGCAAATGATGCTCTAAAATATCTGCAAGGTAGCAATTAAATCGCAGCCAGAATGTTTCAACCAATGCCCTGGGGGTTATTACGATGCCAATGCTCAGGATCGCACACAGGGATCGCAATGCCACATTGATGATCGACATTGGTGTTCCGCCTAGCCTAGTTATGTGGCGCAAATAACTCTGGTAGATGGAATACTAAGCTGTTTGGGGTTCGGTCGGGGGACCTAATATCAACCCCATTTTTGAGCCTGCAGGCACGGGAGCAGTTGTTTTTGGTGAAATACATATCCACATTGCAATTCTAACCACGGAAAGATAGTAAGGGAGAAAATAATTCCATTACATGATAAAGTTTTCACGTATCAAAACATACAATGCAGGAGGAGAACACCAAGCGGTCAATATGTCCAGCTCCATGACCGAGCTCCATGTGATTCTACTCCCTTGGTGATCTTCTTTTTTATGGCCTCTTGCGTTTTTGGTGGAATCTTCTTTTGCTTTCCCCAACAGCCAGCCCAGTACCACGGCATCAGGATCCGCAAGAGCATGAAAGGCAATGATTTGATGAGAAGTATGGGATCCTCCAAAAATGGAGGTAGATCACCTCCGAGCCGGGGCATCTCGCTAAGCACGCCGGCCTTATACAGCTGAACTACAGAGCAGTGGATTTTCGCATCTCGGGGTATATCACGGGTCGCACCGAGGTTTGGGGGCCAGTAACGTGGGATCCATTCTCCGTATTCAAGTTCCAGGCGGGTGAATAGAGGGAGGATTTCTGTGTAGGTAGTATGTGATTCCAGTTAGCGCTCAGATAAGCCTAGATAATCGGAGACAGTATAGATTGTAAATCTATTAACGGTCTGAACATACCTAGAATCCACCACATTAACGTTGCGAAGCGTGTTACGCCACGATCGAAAGCGAGGAAGTCGTGTGGTCTCCGTTCTTTTAGAGCAGATTCACGTGGAGTGTGTGAGGACAAGCCATGGGTTGGCAGCAACACTGGTGCACGTCCCGCTTTCATATGGCCTCTTTGGTTAATCGTCTCCTGGTCAAACGCTAGCTTGCCAGCTGGCTGGTCCTCGAGTGCGTTCACTTGGTCGATCATCCATGCCAAGGGAATATCGGACAGAAGATGCTTTCCGGGGCCTTCATAGTGAAACCCTCCGCCAACATCGAAGTGATTTCCCGCAAACCATACTTCGTGGATGTCAGAATCTTGATGATCCTTCTCGAATAGGAAGAGAGCTGGTTTGAACTTCAGCCGGCGTTCGTGGATGGAAACTGCGTGGCGGATATGGACCGCCGGGGGCTTGATTTCATGTTAAAACAACAACAGACACAAAAAATAGATGTATTCAATTCAGGGAAGCAATTGTTTTAACCGTGGCAATGTCACGATAGGATTGTCGTCGGAAAGGAACGTCAAATTGGCCGACACTGTTCACGCAGTCAAAAAGCCCCAGGAAATATACCTTAACATCGCGACGACAAAAGGTGCGCTTGAAATGCTCTAAGTATCGCTCTTGGTCACGCTCTTTCGTGCTCTTGTTAATTTTGCCCCGATTGCGTTGAACTTCGCTGAAGGATTGGAAGGCAAACCGGATCATATCTTCGTTTCCCTGGGACAGGAGGCCTAACTATGACGTTGATCATCTCAGCTAGGAACCGTGCAGTATATGCCCCACGAGAAAATCCGAAGATGTATATCGCATCGCCTGGCGAGTAAAATCTCATCAGGAATTTGTATCCAGCGGAAACATGGTACTCGAAAGTGGTGCCGATGGCTTGGTCCATCATAGATCCGATACTGGCTCTTAATCGTCCTATGAATGATATACCAGAGTTACTTGTGCCAGCATCAAATTTCCCAATCCCGGCTAATAAAACAGAATGCACATCAGCTCCTATTTATTCCTGGGGTCTAAATGAAGGAAATGTATGTATTGTGAGTTGAAGTGTATTGATTGATATACTAACGCTGATAGTAATGGAATTGGTTCTTGTCAAAACGATTCAACATATCATATATTTTGATGACATTTGTATCTGATTCGTTCGCTTGAAAGCTGTTCCCAGTGCCGTCGAAGCAAAGGACAAGCCGGCGAGGTCCATCGCTTCGATTCTCACGATTTGTGCTAAACGGAATCATAATTGAAATTGGTTATGAGAGGAAACGATAAGGGAAACTCGACTAACAGTGAATGAAACGAAAATGATGAATGGAAATTTGAGCAGGTGAAACAGGAGATATTCCTCGACTTCGGGTGGCGAATATCACGAACCCTTCGATCCGCAAAAGTAATAATGTTTATACAAAATGCACGAGTCACCCATGTTGTGATGACGACAATAAAATATCCACTTATGCTCTCTCATGATCACGCTGACTTGTAAAATAAAAAGTTCAAATAATCCCACAAACGTACCCGCACTACGGAGTACATACATATCCAACCACATCATTCTGCATGATAAGTATCCTAAAATGAGTTATCGGGCAGCAATCTCCATCCGAACCAAATATCGGTCAACTGAATGTTCCAATCGCAGTTGGACACCACAGTTGAGAGATGCGATAGCTTAGGCTTCGATCAGCTTTGTAGGGCTCTAGTATGTATCAAAAGTCGATTGGCGAATGGATATCTCTTTCCATTGAAAGGTTAAAGCCCCAAGAGTAAAGTGAATGCATATTCAAGTCCGGAGATCAACACCCTCGAAATTGTGAAGCCAATGGGCAATGTATCGCAATGGCATCGCCCTCGGCTCCGAATCTTGAAAGGGATAACTTGATAGTCGCGAAACCGCCTGCATGATTCCATCCACTAGATCCGTGATTGCCATCCCGCTGACGGTGCACGCAGACTAAACTTCTCGACCCAAAATGCGCTAACAGGACAACGTTGATATGAATGTGGCGGACTGAATAACTTGTCAAGCTGCATGCACCTTGACGGATTTGCGCAGAATGATTTTCGTCAATAATGACTTCCCAATACAACTCGTTCACCCACTTTCTCTCCGGTGGTGTGAAGAATCCGTTTCCCGCTTTGCTACATGATTTGAGGACCAAAGCCGGCGACAGCTGAAGGCTTCAGAGATTTCGGCATATATTACTATCTCCTCGAGATCTATTAGACTGAGCGCACTCCCCACTGGCTCTGGTTTAAGGATTTTCAAGTGAAACGTCAATTTTTCTTGCTATTTTTTCTGGCCCCGAAGAGAATAATGGCGGGATTCTATTGGACAGTCACGGCTGTGGTAGCTGCTGTGAGCTTCGCTGTATACCGATATGGTCATGATATCGGTCAGATTGTCGCTCCGAAATCTACGAGCCCAGATGTTAAAAAGAAGGATGATGATGGAACGGGTATTGACAGTGGCTCCCTCGTCCTAACCATCATGAAACACCACCCGAAGAATATGGATCTGAGAAGAGTTGGCGATGTGGTGAAGTTTGTAAAGGACACCATCAAGGGGAAACCAATGAATGATAGGTTGCTTGCACTAGGTGACGTTCCAGTGAAATCCTTCCGTGTTCATGGGCTAAGCTCGGTGATAAGTAAATAGATGGAAAACATCATTGCTATGGTTGGCGCATTGCCGCCGAACAACAAACATCGAATTAAATTGACAAATATACTTATCACGAAATTGTGGGATAGTCTCGAACATCCTCCAATAAACTTCCAAGGACCACAGTTCTACTACCGCACTCCAGATGGGAGCTATAACGTGAGTCCAGGTTGCGTCAAGGTCCACACAGGGGTAAAGACAACTAACATCATCGTCAGAATGTACATTTTCCAAACTTAGGAAAGGCTGGGATGCCGTATGCAAGATCGATTCGAAGTGACACTGGGCTGCCGGGTGTTCGACCGGACCCAGGATTGCTTTTTGACCGTAAGTTGAAAGGTGATGATCTCCTCCTGAAAGCTGCGTCTGACATTTGAGGAACAGTTCTCATGAAACGGGAAGATGGTAAATTCAAAAAGAACGAAGGGGGAATCTCATCGCTGCTGTTCCATCATGCAGCACTTATTATCCATGGTACAGGACAAGACCACCATTGGGAGTGATAAAAAAAAAAAAAAAAAAAAAATTGCGTCCCATGCATGAATGGTTGCTTACTGTTATTAGATATATTCCGCACCGATCGACGAGACATGAATATCAACAACAATTCTTCCTACCTCGACCTCTCACCGCTGTATGGCTCTAGCCTCGAAGATCAACTAAAGATCAGAACTATGAAAAATGGATTCCTCAAACCTGACACTTTCCACGACGAGAGATTAATTGGGCAGGCCCCCGGTGCCAACGTCCTTCTAGTCCTTTATAGCCGGTTTCACAATTATGTAGCTCAGACCCTGCTTCAAATCAACGAGGGCGGACGTTTCACCCCCAAGGGAGATGACGAAGCTTCGCTTGCCAAGTTGGACGAGGACTTATTCCAGACTGCCAGATTGTATTTGCATCCCACCACGTGAAGTCGAAGATATATGCTAACCAAGTTGTAGGATTGTCGGGGGATTGTATATTAATATCAGTCTTCACGACTATCTCCGCGCGATTACAAACACACACCATTCGGCCAGCTCGTTGTCTTTGGACCCACGTGTCGACATACCAGATTCGCTAGTAAAATCCGGCCCTGAAAGAGGCATTGGGAACCAGGTCACGAGCGAATTCAACCTTTTGTACCGTTTCCACTCCTGTACATCGTTAGGAGATGAGAAGTGGTTAAACGACTACGTCGCGGGAATATTCAAAAGTACCGGAAAGTCTTTGGAGGAACTGACCTTAAAAGATGGTATGCAGGCTATCGCACGATTTGAAACCCTAATTCCCAAAGACCCTAGCCAGAGGAATTTTGGCGGCATCAAAAGAGGTGAGGATGGTAGATTCCGGGATGAGGATCTGGTTAGAATATTGAGAGCAAGTATTGAAGACCCGGCTGGTATGTAGTCCTCGCAATATTATGCGCAGTTGCCATTGCTAACGAGCTACGTTTAGGCGCATTTGGCCCCAAAAACACACCAAAAGCTTTGCGAGTTGTAGAGATCCTAGGGATTCAACAAGCTCGTCAATGGTCGGGAGCCCAGCTGTTAATATTATTGTTCTACTCTTCTTCTCGCCCCGTTCTTGCTAATACTCGGTATTTTGTAGGAGGACGGCATCGCTTAATGAGTTCCGCAAATTCTTCAAACTTAAACCTCACGAAACGTTCGAAGACATCAACCCTGACCCGGAAATCGCTGACCATCTCCGAAACCTCTATGGGCATCCCGACATGGTTGAAGCATACCCCGGCTTATATGTTGAGGACGCGAAGCCAAGAATGGACCCAGGCTCAGGCGTCTGCACGCCCTACACCATCGGTAGAGCCGTTCTTTCTGACGCAATTACCCTTGTTCGTTCAGATAGATTCAACACCACAGTGAGAATTAGCTTCAGAAATCCTACATGCTTTGCCATCACTAACACATTCCGCAGGACTACAATGTCGCCACATTGACAAATTGTGGTATGGCAGAAGTCCAACAGGATTATGATACGTAAGATACCCTTGCAGATGGGGAACCTTGCACACATATGGCGCTGACAAAATCAAGTCTCAGAGGATCTATGTTTTATAAACTCATCCAACGTGGGCTGCCAGGGTGGTTGTGGCGAACTAAAGGAACTGCTCTCGAAGTTCATCACAGACCAGACTGACATATTTTTAACCGGCAGTATGTTCCAGATTGGGAGAGGCACGTATCACGTTGATATCCTGAAGGAGTGAGTTTTTTTCAACAATATCCCTTGCAATAACCCAGTCCTTCAGCCCCATTTCTAGATCCATATTTCAAAGCCAGCTAATCCATCTTGATATCAAAATAAAGCGTAGCAATTCCTGTCATGACAAGATTTATGGGCGACCTCTTCCAATTCGACTTGAAAACAGAGGAGAACACTTCGGGAACATATGACATTGACAGCCTGTACGGTGATCTCCTGAATATCCGAATCTGGGGATTCGGTAATGATGATCCCGCTCAGTCGTGGAACCGCCGTCGCGACGCGCAAGTGTCAACTAGGAGACTACTCGCTTCCACAGAAGCATACATTAAAAAGGTGACGAGTCCAATCAGAATCCGTAATCTCGTAGGAGCCGTGACAAATGGTCTCGGTTCCAATGGCATCAACACTTCGTTACGCTCCTTGGACGTGATTGCATCATGGAGCTTCTCGCCAATGGAAAGTCGGTGCAGGAAATAGCTGATATTATGATATTTACGGCACTCGGTGGTATTGGTGCGGCTATTAGCACGGTATGTTGCGAGCGAAATGTCTAATTTTTGGTGGGCGGACAATGAACTGACAACATATAACCGTACATATATCTAGCTTGCGGAAATTTTGGAGTTTATGATTGCAGTTCCCGAAAACGTAGAACATCTCGAAGCATTTCGACACCTTACTCTTGAAAATTCCGAAAGGGCAGACAATGATCTTCGGCGATACGTTCTCGAAATGCAGCGCCTGACCGCAGGCCACGTTACGATGCGTGTTGCGACCCAGCCTGGAAAATTCGGCAATCAAAGCTTCCAGCCGGGAGAGCAAATTATTGCATATTTTGTTAGATCACCAATGCAGAACATCCCATTGTTCGGAGGGTTATGAACTAATATGTTAAAATAGGCAGCAGCATGTCGAGATCCAGAGGCGTATCCTGAACCAGAGAAAATAAAACTTGATCGTCCACTCGAAAAATATATAGCTTTCGGCGACGGTCCCCACCAATGCTTTGGCCGAGAATTGGCCTTGGCATATCTGGTTGGAGTCCTAAAGCAGGTGACTTCGCTCAAGAACATCCGTCCAGCCTTGGGTGGAATGGGCGTCTTGAAGAGAATAAAGCGGAATGGTATCCCCTATTACCTTTCAGAGGATTGGTCGACTTTTACCGGTTATGCATCCAGTAAGCATGTCCAATTTCGCAGCTAAATAACCCTTAGTTATAATTTGTAGGGTTCCTTGGTTGGCAGTAACTGATTTGGCTTGTTTTTAGCGTGGCAACTTCAATTTGACGATCCTGACTCTGTGGTATCCTGAGATTTTGAGGGTAACGAACGAGATATGGAGTTGAAGCGCATTACGTTGTGTGAAAGGAAAACATGGTACAAGGGTGGTGTAAGGGCATGTCCCGATGCTGTTAATTCACATTTCTCATTTTCGCATTTCCCATTAATATAGTTGTTCGGGCGCTGAATAATCTAGCAATACAAGTCCGTCCACAGCGCAGGAGGGGCAGTATGGCCGAGCATGTAGAAAGTAACAATTTTCATTCTAGAGTTATGATAGCATTTGCCCACGAGGCACTGTCTGCTAACGTCCTCTTTCCGCCATAATTTCGTAGAGTATCTGCGGGTTCGGGGTATTGCGTGGTGGAAATTTCCTCTATATCCAGGTGACGCTTCGCCAAACGTTCATCATCTGTGCTTTAGGCTACTCCGTGTTTTGTGGGATAATTAGCTTTTGGAAGGCTATATTTTATGTCTATCGCTTCAATGTGGGTGACTGATCGTTTTTCAATATTTCAACCTGGGAGGAGTCCCATTTTCAACTCATCCAATCACTCGTGATTGCCAAAGGCACGAACCAGCGCTTCGCCTTCACTTGTTGAAACCGTATCTGGATTAGTTTCCTCATTTTCTCCCGGAGACAATTGCTGACTCAATTGGGGAGATGTATGGGCTTCAGACGCGGGCCGGGATATTTTCACTGGCTGCAGCAGCTTTTCCTCACGGTCCAGCCATCCGGGAGCAATTCTTCGTTTTTCTGCCAAATCGCGTTGTTTTATCGACTCCTCCCAGTCTTTGATTGTAGCCAGGCTACCTTCTCTGATCTTATTCATGTGTTTCTCTAGCGCCTCGCATGATGCTAGGATATCACTAGGGTGAGCAGCATGGCCTCGCCCAGGGGAAATGACATAGCGGGCCTTCTCCGAGCTGTTAGGGTCGAGTGTGACTGAGGGTGGAAGTGTGGACGGCACAGATTTATATGTATACGGAAGAGTCGTTGCTGTAGGCAAGGATATAAAGGGAGACACAGTCAAGGGTATCTGGGCTAGGAGTGGGTGGGGTTCTGAAGTGTTTGTTAATCCTGAGCCTTTGGAACTGGACGAGCTGGGCACCAGAGTAAATACTGACTATATGATTCGTACATGAATTTGGATGAATGAAAATGATCCTGGATATTGAAAGTAAAATAAACATAAAATTCGGGGAGGTATCACCGATAAAAATGTCGATTTAAGGTGTCCAAAACCCTGGGAACCATACAGAGAAGTGGTCTACAGTCACGCGTTGACAAAGTAAGGAATATAAATGAGGGTTATATGCCTGATGAACTTTCGTGCAGTTTATGTAGCTTTGTTGCAGTGGATGTTAGACAGGTGGTGGTGGATGGATGTTGGATGTTGAAGCTGGGGATGAGGCTGAAATTTATAATACCAGCGGCTCAATCGAGGGGTTTGCTGACATTTCATCTTCCCCCACACAACATCGCCAACATGACCGGGCCTTGCAACCAACCTTCCCAGTTCGCCTCAATATTGCGATCTCAGTAATACGTTTGCGATTTGCGACGGCCAGGTTTTCCTCTCCTAGTCAAGACGACCGTCTACGAAAACCTGTTGCTTTTCACACTCATCACTCTCATCCGAGTTGCCCAATCCAGTTACTTATCCTAACCATCGATTCCAAAGAGCCCTTAGGAATCCCCATCGCCCACTCTGTTGTGGAGAAATTCACTCCCACGCTGGGCATTCTAAATTCTTTATTTTAATTGAATATTCCGACTTATGATACCCGGCGGCTGGACTCACTCTTTGCATCCCACGCCTGTTTTCTTTGCCGCGATTAAACCTCTTCCGTCGTTGCCCCTTGGATAGCAATCGATTACTGATATACTCCAGTTCGAGTGCGCGGGTTGCCGTCCCTTCACCTGTATTGCCTTGAAGCCGCCTCGTTACCGTTATCAAATACCATCGTATCCAACCGTTTTCCATTGAGGAGCGAAGCGAACAAACATGGAGACCCAAATAGAGCGAGCGGTAACAGAGAAAAGGCCCGTCCCCGAAATCGACTTCACCCTGCATACAATGGAAGACGGAACTCAAGTTTCCACACATGAGAGAGTTTGTAAAGGTGATTTGTTTTTTGGGTTTTAAATTTTAACACGACAATTAATTATTTTGATAGATGTGCAAGCGCCCGCTTTCCAACTTCCAACCAACGAGCATTTCTGGTCGCCAGAAGACCCATCGAAACCCAACCTGCGGTTTCTTAAGCAACATTTCTATCGCGAAGGTCGCCTCACTGAAGAGCAGGCGTTATGGATTATACAGACAGGAACCCAATTATTGCGCGCGGAACCTAATCTTTTGGAGATGGATGCGCCAATTACTGTTTGTGGCGATGTCCATGGCCAGTACTACGACCTAATGAAGCTGTTCGAAGTTGGAGGCGATCCTGCGGAGACGAGATACCTGTTCCTCGGTGATTATGTTGATAGAGGTTATTTCAGCATCGAGGTACATACCTCTCCTATCCACATACCTGTCGACGTAAAAAGACGTTGCTAAATATTCACTCAGTGTGTTTTATACCTCTGGGCCTTGAAAATATGGTATCCAAATAGTTTATGGTTGTTACGCGGCAATCACGAGTGTCGTCATCTTACAGACTATTTCACTTTCAAACTAGAATGTAAGCACAAGTACTCGGAGAGAGTCTACGATGCGTGCACGGAATCATTCTGTTCGTTACCACTCGCGGCCATTATGAACAAACAGTTCCTTTGCATTCATGGTGGCCTTAGCCCCGAACTGCATACATTAGAGGACCTGAAATCGGTACGTTTTGGGACAGGTCCAGCAAATTGTGTAGTTACATTATTACTAATTCCATGCATAGATCGACCGTTTTAGAGAGCCCCCGACTCAAGGACTCATGTGCGATATCCTTTGGGCTGATCCGTTGGAGGAAATTTGGTCAGGAGAAAACAGGTGAAATATTTTGTGCACAATAACGTTCGAGGATGTTCATACTTTTTTCTCTTACCCCGCCGCTTGCGCATTCCTGGAAAAAAACAATTTACTTTCCATAATTCGAGCCCATGAAGCACAGGATGCAGGGTACAGAATGTATAGGAAGACCAGAACGACCGGGTTCCCCAGCGTAATGACGATATTCAGTGCGCCAAACTATCTCGACGTTTACAACAACAAAGCCGCCGTTTTGAAATACGAGAACAACGTAATGAACATTAGACAGTTCAATTGCACTCCCCATCCTTACTGGTTACCTAATTTCATGGACGTTTTTACCTGGTCTCTCCCCTTTGTCGGTGAGAAGATTACCGACATGCTTATCGCCATTTTGAATACTTGCTCCAAAGAAGAGCTGGAGGAAGAACCCTCTTCGTCTGTATCTTCCGACCGCGCATCGCCTCCCCTTCTAATGGATCCCGAGAGCACCGAATTTAAGAGACGAGCGATCAAAAACAAGATTCTAGCTATTGGTCGTCTCTCGCGGGTCTTCCAAGTGCTACGTGAGGAAGCAGAACGAGTCACAGAACTCAAAACTGCCTCAGGTGGCCGCCTTCCTGCAGGCACCCTCATGCTTGGAGCAGAGGGTATCAAGCAAGCAATTCATAACTTCGAAGATGCACGCAAGGTTGATTTGCAGAACGAGCGGCTTCCACCAACCCACGAGGAAGTGATTAGGAGGAATGAAGAGGAGCGGAAACAAGCCTTGGAACGTGCTGCCCAGGAGGCAGAGAATGATACTGGTCTGACTAATATTGCTAGAAGGATCAGCATGTAAGTTTATCACGATTTATCTTTGAGTCCATATTTTCCGTGCCAGCGACAAGCAGGCTAACAGAAAACAACAATACAGGTCGTCTGGCACCGGTAGAGGCCGTCGCACCCGGCCTGAGTAAATGGCCAAAGAAGGAAAATAATATAAAGTGGAAAAAAAAAAAAGGGAAGGAATATTGTTTTAAAGCAAATTTGCCATCCGATTCTACTTAGAAAATCCCTTAGCTAGTAGGCTATTGTCTCACGATATAATTGCATGTTAAAACGACATATGTCCCACAACTTGCCATACGAAGAAATAGTCCTTTACTTGAACTTAGGCATCGTGAAACTAGCTGAAGAGACAGCAAGAAGGGGTCAGCACATGTGGATGTGCGATTGTTTCTTTTCATTTTTGCTTTAATTTCCCCCCCTCTTTGACGCCAAAGTAATGACCTAAATTTTGAAGGATTTTTTGAAATTATGGGGCAGAGCGTAGTAATAATATTGACTGTTCACCTTGAATGCAAAGTGTTATTATTTCTTCCGTTTCTGCCGTTGTTCTCTCGTTCCTGGTCCTATTCTCTTATGTGAATGATATCCCTAAAGCTGGTGCAACGACAATAAAATCCTTGCTCTGAATATTGTTGTCTTCTCGGGATTGCTTAGGGGGCAAACCTTTTCGTTATTTCTTAAAATATGGATGATATATTCAAGCCTGATACAGAGAATTGAGCCTGCGATAGACATATAAACTGTAGCTGATATATTATTCAATCTATCCGGTCGCTGAATCAGCACTTGTCAGGTAGTTACTCAATCTTCCTTCCTGCGACTGCTATCAGGGGATTTTGACAAGTGATTCGCACCCAAGTTGATAAAGTAGCTCATTGAGCGTGGAATGTAACCAGACCAGTGCGAGCAAGGACTTTTACGCCTCCGTATTGTGATTGGAAATGTCCAGTTCAGTCTCTATAAATTGAGCAAGTGATCCCACGGGAAAATAAATTCAAAAGAGAGAATGATAAACAGAGTCAAGGTTCCGATTCCCATTCATTACCTATGGGAGAGAATATTTGTGGTCTGGTTGTTTATGTAGCCCCAGACAAGCTAAAATGCTACTTTTTCGAAGATCAATTCCTCTCATCATCATCCCACAGCAAACAGCCCGCCTTCGACGCTCGCTCTCAATGCCACCAAAACTCCGTTCTCCCCTCTCAAAACAGGTCGGCCCTTTCACAGAAGCTGTCTTTTTCTGTCCGTCATGCTCAATATGGCGTTGCTCAACCCCCTTGCGGACCGCCGCCCACTCACGCTACCGGAATTTTAACCTTCGCCGAGCCCGTTCCGCATCGACTTTCGTGCACCAATCTGCAGCTGCACACGCAGTGAATATCAAGAGAAATATACCAGAGCGGTTCCAAGAACTATACTCCGCGTTAAACAATGTCCATGATACCGCTTCCAACCATGTCAATTCGAGCAGGCTGCAATTGGCGCTGAGGGGCTTGGAGACAACGAGGCCTGTGATTCGGGTTGCTGGTATGTTTTCGCGAATTCTTCTAGACTGCTTCGGAAGGATGTCGACCGCGTTTTCGCTTTTGAAGCTCAACTTAAGGCTGACCGGAGCAACTGATTATTACAGTCCTTGCTTTAGGTAATACAGCTACGGCACCCAGGCTTGTCCGACTACTGCTGGCAGATCCCCTGAGTCCAAAACAACAATGGGAGGATTATTTGGAAGCACATCGGATGGATAGATCCGGCAGCTTATTGATAAAGTACGACATCGTTGAATACTATTCTTTAACAAAGAGTAGGCTTACTAACAACCCCCGGTTTGTAGGTATGGAGAACAAACAGATCTCGCAGTGGAGAACAGCCTCGTGCCAACCATATCGATCCCCTCGAGAGTGCTGAAATCAGCCAACTTGGAGATTCTTCTTTCACACCTCAGTACGAACGCGGGTTCGGATGCCCAAATCACTAGTAACACATTCCTTGTTCCAACAATTGCCATCCAATCGACTAGTACAGGCACCCATACTTTCGTCAGATACCCTGTTCATAAGAGCATTGTTTATGGAACGGGCATTGATGGGCTGGTAGCATATACAAAACTAGCGGAACGTGCGAACATCACAGACACGGATTCAATATGTGCAACATTTGACTTCGAAATATTAGGCCAGGGTTCGGCCCAGAGGAGGAATGGTGTCTCTTGTGTTGATCCCCATCGTGCAGAGGCGGCATTGAATATGTTTCGCGAATCCGCCCAAAACGCTACGGAATACGAGAGAGGGTGGTCGGGAAGTGGGGTGCAGCCGCTGATAGATTGGGTGTCTGCCCCTCCGGATGATGCCGCTCTAGATCCGTCAATTAAGAAACTTGTTGGGTCATTGCTCGATGGGGTTGAAGAAAGCATTAGTGCTGAAGAAAACAAAAAGATACTGGTGCAGCAAGCCAGGAACGTTCCAGAAGAAGTACGACTGGATTTGGACAGGACAGTCACAACGTGGGCTGAACGTGCGCATACAGAACTTCGCGACTCGCTCAACGACGGATTTGCAAGCAAACCGTGGCGGGATCTAGCTTGGTGGAAGCTGTTTTGGCATGTGGACGACGTGGGAATGGTCACCTCCCGGATATTAAGGACGAAATGGCTTCCAGAGGCGGAGAAAGAGGTGATCTGGATTGGTGGGAAAATTCATCAGGCAGGGCTATTGAACAACAATACATATACTACAGCCAAAATTCAGGAATCTCCAGATATCAGGGTACCCCATACTGGGGATTCGTCTTCAGTGTCCCCTGAGAAGCCTTGGCCATCCCAAATCCCAGACATTCGGGGCCGTCTTACAACCTCCAGCGTACCCTCCTTACATGCCGTCGCACAAAATCTTGTCTTCTTCAGCTTGTCAACAACATCACTCAGTGCCGCACTGTCTACTTTGGTATACATTTCCACATCCAGTGCATCTATATACGAAGCCGGCACAATCGCAACAATTGGTCTCTTCATTTCGCTACGCCGGCAACAGAAGGGATGGGATGCTACACGCAGCCTGTGGGAATGCGAGGTCCGCGAGGAAGGCCGCCGCGCATTAAAGGTCACTGAAGAGGATTGCGTACCATCATTCACGAGGGCGGACGGGTTCTCGAAGCAGCTCCTGAAATCGAAGTCAGGCAACAAGTCAGCAAAGCTCGTCAAGCTCTCTCATATGTAAAATAATAGTTCTCCTATCTGTGACCCATCGTAGTTATTCCTCCTACAAGAGGCGAGAAGTAAAAACAATTTATAGACCACCATATCTCAATATTCAAAAAGCAAACCAAGGGATACTAGCAACAGCTCAGCTAATTTCCACGCTCCCTTCTGGCACACCACTCGGTACTCCTCAACCTGCTCGCTAGCCACTGCATGATAATGAAAAATTTCCTCGCGGTTATTCGGCATCTCGTCGTCATTTCTCCCCTCCCACCTTACCACCTTCATATTTTCAAAAAATTCCCCTTCGTCCTACCTATCCCGGCATCCGTAAACGCGGTTCGCGGTGGCAGACCCCCAACCAACTGCACAGGTGTCCCGCATTTCCCATTCCTACTCTCCTGCCCCCAATACCCAAGCTTCTGCACTAGCACTGGGCAAAATTAGCTCCCGGATGATCTTCCCAAAAGCGTTCGTATTAAGGTTATGGCGGATAATAATTCGAAATCGCCGGGCTGGCGTTTACCGCGGTTGTCATTGATCTATTTTTATAGAGCTTCAATTGAATATAAAAAGAAGGCGTTCAAGGATTTAGTTTATTCAGCGCGAGCAAGAACACGCTTATCAAAACCTATAGTGAACAGCAGGCGAATATCCCGCGTAAAATAAGACAGAATAGTAAATAAAGCTAAAAACATACTCGTTACTATTTTTGTACATAGCTCATAATTTTTTTGAAGGAGCCAGGGTTCTGAAATTGTAATGTCTAAAACTACTGGAGTATGTGTCCATGCACACTAGTACATCATATTTTTAAACTCGCGTAACTTTTTGGACCATGGCAGGGCTCAGTTTTCCGGCCGAAATATGAGCTGTGTTCAGCTTTATTGGACCCCGTAAAGATAAAACTTGCCGTCAACTTAAGCGGGCCCATCAACAGCATCGTTGTGCCATTCCGATTTCCTGATGGCGAAATAAATACCGGGAATAAGTGCCTTGATTCGCAGAGCAAATGCTTGGAGAACCCGACAGCGGTGTGGATGCCAGTGGATGGCTGTTGCTTGGTGGAACCGACCAAAGCAGACCGAAGGAAAAGGGTCCTAGCAGGAAATGTTCGCATTGGCCCTTGGTGATTGCGGGGAGTTAGATGAACTTGCCCAACCCAGTTGTGTGGCATGTAGTTCTGGAATTAGCTGCTATGTAGAAGAAATGGTGTGATCAAGTAAAGACTTAGCCATTCGCCTATTGGCGGGCACGGTTAGCAAACTAGATATCTGGCATCTGATATCAGAACCAGCAGAACTGTTCCAGCTGGGAATTCCATTCAAAAAGCCAGGAGCTGGGCTTTAGGTTGAAGACCGAGGCATGGCAGCATGGCTGTATGTCACCACCGGCAATGATTGCGATATATCAACGCAGTACATGTTGACAACAGTGTGATCAACTCAAGAGAAGACAACCACACCCGTAAAACCGTTATCACCTTCGGGCAGTGGATATTGTTATTCAAAAACGGATTCGGTTTCTGAACACAAACATCAACCTATTTTTTTATCGACCTCAAATTCCCGAGGTTTAGCTAGCAGCAGCCAGCTTATTTTTATTTTGAATTTTGAATTTTGAAATTTTGAAAATTTTTTCTTTTTTGGAAGCCAATCTTCAGCGTGCCAGGTCCCAATGTCGTGAAAACTTCCCGTTTAGATACTCCCTGACCCTTACCACTTAGCGCAAGAAACTCAATGAGAGAACGTCCGTCAACTCCCGTTTCTATTTCATTTCTTGTAGGAAGAGCTGCGCTGCAAATCAGCAAAGGCAAGTAGGTTGAAGATCGGCGATTCCACATAACGGGCCAGTCAGTTTCCTGCTTCAAAGCTCGACGAAATGTGGGGTGATTCCAACAGGCGCAGGGAATATACAGCTCATCCAAATATAGCTACATGCTGCTATGTACGGAGTACGGTACATCAGAGTCCAAAACAGCACTGATTCCGCAGGCTGCAAGAAGACGTGCTTCGGGACATGGCCAATAACAACCAATAACAAACAGTAGCATTGGCCGTCGTTCTGAATATTGCGGCAAAAAGCAAAAGTAACGGTAACAAGAGCTCCAACGAAGAAAAGAAAAGCAAAAGCTATCTGCAAACCAATCCAATCGGAACCGGTGCCGTGAACAGCAAGCAGCCCGGGATCAAACAAGCGCGTGGGGAGAGCTGTTGCTGCCTCACTCTTGACCAAGTAAGGAAAAAAAGCTTCAAAAAAAGGACCAAAACTCAACATTGAGCCTACCGGCGCTTGCCGAGAAATAATAAATAAATAGTACGGAGTACAGATTACGTACCTCGCATACGCTTCCTATTTTCCCAATCAAACGCCATGACTCTCCTCTCCTCTCCTCTCCGGCGCCAAAATGGACCCATTTGAGGCGAGAGGACGGATCCAGATGTTTTTCTCCAGATTCTTTACCGAGTACATTTTCGCGATCTCAACCCGGAGGAGAGAACGAAAAAATTAAAACAGAGACTTTGTGAGAATTGAAAATTTGAAATGAGTACCAATAAATCCTTTTTCATATCTTAAAACCCTCGCACCTAGGTTACAGGTGGCAGAAAAGGTGTAAATCGGTGGCTTAAAAAACTGTTGTCGCCATTTCATCGCACAGATATACTACTTAATAAGGCCCCAGTATGTATAATGATAACAATGACCTGAACAAAAAAAAAAAACTCAAGCCGCACATGTAACCACGTACTAGCTTGTGACGACCCATGCTTCATAGGAGATTTAGTGGGAGAAACAAGGCAACGCATGAAGATAACTGCACATAAGTAATGAGAGGTAAGGGGCGGAAGGAAAATCAAATTATTAGGAAAATCTACGCCTGTCGATTAGGACATCACATCAACCACAGCACCCAATCTAGTACCGGCCACGTTACGTAGACATGGAATCATCGGTGCATGTCAAAAGTTATGGTTTAGGTTTCTATAGAATGAACGCGTTCTTGATCTCGCTATAGATGGCGTGGAGCTCGTCAGTAGCGAGCTTTTCGAGCCTGTCGAGGGCATCCTTCGTCTGATCTTTCAACGAGCCAGCGTTGTATCCACCCTTTCCCACAATTTCTGAGTAGTTGGAAGAACCACCTCCGTTCCAGGCAAGTAACTATCAAAAAGTATTAGAAAGAATGATAATTGTATTACAATAATACACTTCCAGATATAACTTACGTTATTGGTATCCTCAGGCATCATAGTCAGCATATCCTTGGAGGAGATACGGAGGAGAGCAGTTTTAAGGTCCTTGGGGGTAAGAGGCGCGACAGCGAAGGCGGACTGTGTCGACGGGTAGAGAGAGACGAAGTAGGCCGCGAGGCCAGCTATGTGAGGAGATGCCATGGAAGTGCCAGAGATAGTGTTGACAGCGTACTTGCTGCCAGTCCAGGTAGAGAGGATGTTAAGGCCAGGGGCAAAGATGTCAACGCAGGGGCCATAGTTAGAGAAGAAAGCACGTTCGTCGGACAGAGTGGAGGCTCCGACTGTGATGGCAGACTCAGCAGCAGCAGGCGAGTAATTGCAGGCATCGGCGTTATCATTGCCAGCGGCCACAGCGAAGTGCATACCAGTGCCAACAGCGGCATTGACAGCGAGATCCAACACACGCGAAGGTCCGCCGCCCAAACTCATGTTGGCAACACTACCCTTGAAGCCTTTCCGGCGGGCACCTTCCTTAGCAGCTTTCATTTGTTTCTGATGGCTTTGAGCGGCATATTCAACGCCCTTAACGACGTCGGACATAGTTCCCGAGCCGTTGGACCTCAGGACTTTGACAGCGTAGATGCTAGCCTTTTTGGCAACGCCAAATGTTGCGGCTGCGGAAGTCCCAGCGCAGTGGGTTCCGTGGCCATTTCCGTCGACATTTTCTTCACCCACTGGGATAGTGGCTCCCCAGAATGCACGTCCTTGGAAATCAACATGCTCAGTGTTGACGCCAGTATCGATGACGTAAATGTCGACGCCTTCACCTGCCATGTCCGAGTACAGGTATGTGTTGAAGGTGGAAAAGTCCAGGGTATCTCGGTGACAGATCCTGGCGAGGCCCCATGGAGAATTATTTTGGGTTTCGAGGGCCGTGGTATGGACCTCAGAGTCTTTCTCGATAAAATCGACCTAGGCAATGGGTTAGAGTGACGAGCTCCACCAAGCAAAAGAGCAAAACATTTGGGAGTCAGCTTACATCTGGATGCATGCGGACCTGGTCAATAACCTCCTCATCAAATGAGCCCGAGTATCCCAAAAGCGAGCCGGCAATATCGAAGGTATGTTTCAGGCCAGAGAACACGTCGTTCTTGAACGGAAACTGGTTACGTTTGTCAAGCTTTGATCTCTTGGCTATGGCTGTAGTATGAAGGTTTTGCACCCAGTTCTGATGGGCAACCGCTGAAGCGCTGGTGACATGCTTTTTGAAGACAACAATGTATGAGTCTTCAATCACTTTTGCATCCACCGACGAAAGGATGGGGGCGGCATCTTTGTGGATGGAATCAATCACAACTGGTGACGCAGCCGCCAGTACCGGGACGATCGATAAGGCGAGAAGGCCTTTCATGGTGATGAAGGGCGCAGGAAAGGAGTGAAATAGAAGACAGGATATTTGAAGCCAAAGGAAAAGGATACAATAGATGGAAGATGAGGAGAGAGAGCTGGGTTGAAGAAGGATAGGTTCACGAGGAAGTTGGGGAGAGCAAGAGAGTTGAAGTTTCGGGGGAGGACGGGGAATGATGCAAGCGCTGGGTTAGTCTGGTATCGGTATGGTCACACCAATGTGGCTGGTACCGCCTGACCCATGGCCCCAGGGGTTGGCGGTGGCCTGGCCAACGGGGGTCACATGGGCTGGGGTTACCCGGAGCCTTGGAAAGTTGGAAGCTGAGACATCCGCGGTAGAGGGTCGAACCATAGCTCCAGCACCGCAATCAACAATGGTGTGATTCGTCCGTTGTATCCTTAAAAGCTGGTTGTCTGACACGAGTTCAAATCATACTGGTATTCTTCTACGGCTCAGTGATCAAGTCAAAGTAAAGAGCTTCACTGTCAACTAGAAAATTTTGTGCAAGAGGGAGAAAGAACATCAGCGTCTGATTATTTGATGAAATTCATTGCATCTAGCTTTCACCTTTGGAGTCGACTTCGCGGAGATCAATAGATGTGCATTTAAAATGACTTGGATGAAAGGGTACTTTTGATACAAGCACCATCTCCAATACATATAAGGAGTAGCTTGATAAATACATGGAAAGCTGGGAAATGCTATATCTATCATGCTCTGTTTACAGATCTCAATTCTCCCTTCCCGACATATTTTGCAAAAGCTGTCTGCTCCACAAAGCTCCCAATAGAGTCCTTTGCCTGAGCGCGATACTTTTTCCTCTACTCCATCATTTTGGCTGTTGGGTGGCATGACGACCCGTAGGAAATATGCAGTGAGAGGACTACGGGTTAATCAATCCGCTTCATGTTCGACTCTAGCGGTAGTCAGCAACAAATACGGTTTGTGAGAATATGAATCGATCGTGGACCGGGCCGTCTCATGAACACCACAGCAAACGCTCTGGGTACCTGTCAGGCGGTGTGAGTCAACAACTTCTACTTCGCATAAGGTGTACGCAGTATCGATTGATGAGTTCAGTTACTGCCCTACACCAGTTTCTCTATCAAAGTTAGTGTCTCTACAAATGTATAAATTCCAGTGGGAACCTTACAAAATGCAAGGACGCACACATACGGGCGAACGCTTAACACCTCTCAGCAAGGTCGCGGCCCATCCCAAGATATCATATGATATCTGTATTACAAGTGCATACCAAAGACCTAGTTCACCAAGTAGTCTTTTTTCACTCCAAGTGACAAAGCAGTCTTGCACATTGATTGATAATAGTATTAGCAGTCCGGCAAGAGCACAGCAGTCTACGAACCGTAGACAGAGTCTATACGACGATGAACAGCACCTACTCCCGAGCAACTAAGCTTGCATCCAGTCAGGGAGGCCCTGACACTAGAAATCGCACTCCCCAAATGGTTACAAATGACTCGCTGATAGGAGTGCGCCTGTATCATACTGAAAAGGTTAGTTAGCAAGGAGCACAAGCAAACAAGGATGAATGAATGATTCCGATGATTAGGGAACTACTAAACGAGAACTTTTATAGAGTTGAAGTAAAGGTTGGTGTTCCACTCTGCGACGCCATTCTTAGAGGTGGCAAGATCGTCACTCTCCTCAAGGATTTGATAAATGATGTTAAGAGCATATGAAGGGTTAGCTGCGAAGCAACGGACATATCAGTTCGAGATCGATCACCCCTAATATAATATTCTTGGGGTAACGATTGGTGACAAGAATATAGGTAACAGCACAATCGTCCCATTTTTCCTTGTGGATTCCTGGGGCTGGAGGATAATTGTTCGCAGGACTATCCAAAGATTTGTGTGGTAGTTATCATACATTGCTTTCTGGATGCTTGATTATATAATCAAACGTGTCGCAAACGATGTTCCGTTCCGAACATCATAAAAGGCAATATCAAGCTGATAAACATAACCCTTGACTTTCCCTGGCGCAGTAAGACGACAGCTTTCTGTTTTTCAGGAGCACACCTTCTCGTCTCGCCATACACTTCGTTATTTAACCTGTTGAATTCAACATCCAATGTTTGAAACACGTTGGCATCGGGTCATCTCACAGTGGAGAGGGCTCGTTTTGACCATCATAGATGACGAATACATGACCTGAATATTGAACGTTTTACTCCGGTAGTTAAACCCTGTGGCATGTTCCCAATGACCGGATTAAAATCTTTCTGGCCCTAATCATTGGTAATTTACAATAGAAGACATAGGTCCCTCGAAGGAAACATGAATAGCTCTTCCTCCCTCCCTCGGCGCCCATCGTCTCCGCCTTTGTTAGCCTCGGAGCGCCTTGTTGCTGAATTGCGTCC